AACCCAAAGGCATTCATTCAGCTTAAGCTCCAGTGCCCCCGTAAACCTAGTTTCTTCGATTAAGTGCCCAGGGCACCAGGCTCCAGTAAGCCTGAGTCCGAAGGTGCTCAGCTCCACTTCCATGGGTCAAGTCCAACTTCCCCAGTTTAGTGCCCAGAGGCACCCTACTCTGCAAGCCAACTTCCCAGACAAAAGCGCTCATCTTTATTTGCTTTGTAGGTTGGGAAGTCCATCACTGTGGTCCATGCCTAGCTCCTGGTCCTGCTGCTGCTCATCTGATGGTAAAGCTGCCTTTTGGACCCAGGAGGGTCACTGTGGAGGGATGCACTCCACTCCAGGCTCTTGTTGGTAATGAGATTAGTCCTCCTGCTTCTCAGGGGCTCATTTTAAACACAAGGGATGGCACTCCAAGGAATCCTCCTTGCAATCACTCACAGGCAAATCCTATCATTATATTCCTCCACCTTCTTACCAGACCCATGCAGCGAAAGGTCCTTTGGTAGGAGTTAGAGACTGGCTAGAAAAACAAAAAAGCCCAAACTCACCGCCATTGAGTCAAGTCTGGGTAGACTAGAGAAACAAATCCAGGGAGACTCATACATATATAAGAAAAAGCTTTCTATATAAAAACAATTGAATATTGAGAAAACATCCCAGCCCATTCCAGATCAAGTTCCTAAGTCCAACAGTAGGCCATATGTCCCATACCAATCTATAAATTCCTCTTCAGACTCACATGCAATGATGCCAAATGCAGGAAGATCACAGGCTAGTGGGTGGGAAGCCTTGTGGATCCAGTGGCATTGTAAGCATCTCAGCACTAACAGGGGTCTCCACATGGTTCCTTTAGCTCCAAAACTCTGACTGCCTTAGGGTAGCTTCATGTGGCTTCTCCTCAGAAATGTCTTGTAGGGACTGAACCTTATCAGTGTGTTTTCAAGGGAGTGCGGAGAGTTTTTCCCACCTCCAGGGAGGAAAACAGGAATTCCCAGAATCCTCAGGAGAAGGTCATGCTCACACAGAGGCCTCATTGGCTATGATCTGATTGGCAGGTTAGACTCCACTCCTACACTCTTAATCCTCAAATTGACACCAGATTATATAACTACAACTACCCTCCATTTATTTTCTACAAAGATACTCCAAACATCTTAAATATGGACATCTCCCCATTCACAATTTTTTTTTAACTTGGAAGAACCTTTAAATGACAAATAGCTCCTGCATTCACTCTCATCACTAGACAGAGTGAGGCCAATAAATCAAACATTTACTATTCACTGTGAAATACTAAGGTTGAAAAACAGTCAATAATAATAATAACGAAACCAAACACACTGTCATGAAGTCTATCCTGATTCACAGCAATCCTATATAGGGTTTCCAAGGTTAAGAGCAGACAGCCACATCTTTTTCCCACAGAGCAGCTGGTGAGTTTGAACCAATAACCTGGTTTGTTCTTAGTCTGAGAGCTCTACCAGGATTCCTTAATAAAGTGTAACTAAAATCGCCTTTTCTCTCTCAAGTGCCTCCACTTCCAGTCTGTGGTAGTTACATAATTTGTTTTCAATTTGAGACTTAAGAGTGAAGGAGTGGAGTTTGGCCTGTCAATCAGGTCATAGCTTGACCTCATTTGGAGGCGCTAAGGAGTTAAAAAAGCTTGCTGAGGGCAGGACACATGATCGATCACTCCGTGAGCTATCCTGATGCAGCCAGAGCCCTGTGGGCTGGAGGAGTCACGTGAAGACCCATGCCAGCACTGAGATGCTTTTGCCACCACTGGATCCACAAGACTTTCCACCCATTGATCTGTGCTCTTCCAGCATTCCATGTTATTACATGTGTTTCGTGAGTCTGAAGGGGAATTTATAGATTGATATGGGGCATATGGGATAATATCGGACTTATGGACTTGATCTGGACTGGGCTGGGATGTTTTCTCAATATTCAATTGCTCTTGTATAGAAAGCTCTTTCTTATACACGTGAAGTCTCCCTGGATTTGTTTCTCTAGTCTACCCAGACTAACAGTTGTTAGTTCCTTACGGAAACTATGCCTATCTTATTTCCTGGTATTTCATGTTCAGACATTTGTAGGCTGTACATTAAAGTGTGTGCATGTAATACCTGCATATCTACATTAATTAAAATGTAACCATTTTCACAATTTCATAATTAATGTTATACCTAAAAAAAGTTTTTCTAAGTAATCTACCACTGTGAAACATCAATGAGCAGAAATTTGTAATGTAGCAAGATGACATAAACTGGAGCATTTTTCTCACCTTTTATGTATCAACAAAATAGCCAGTGATCCTTTGATTTTAAATAACCTTAAATTTAAAATTGTAAATTAGGTGTTTACATTTCAAATAATCAATTTTGTATTCAACCAGTTCAAACTAATTATCAATTTCCCACTCCCACCCCCACTTAATGGCTTACCCTACTCTCCTTCCTTTGGTTTCTCCTCTACCCTTGTGGCTTACTATCTTCCTCTTCACCCAAGTTCATGCTCATCACTTTTCAGTCCTCTAGCCTACAGCTTCATCTTCCCTCCCTTGCCTTACCCTCCTTTTTAACCTCCAACGTCTATTCCCTTTGGTATGGCAAAATGATCCTTTCAAAAGGTAAATCAGATCACATTGGCATTCACGGCTTCTTCTCTTATTCCCTTTAAGAATGTGTTTACGTATATACTTACACACTTTTTTCACATATTAAACACATGTAAAGAAATAACTGATTTCTACAGGAAACATGCCATCACCACAAGGAAAGGTACAACCATACACACATCTCAATTTAAAATATCATCCCAAGTGTGGCTAGGATGTAGTAGACTTGAAATTCTCACATACTGTTAATGGCAATGAAAATGGTACACCTTGGAAAACCGTTTGGCAGTTTCTCAAAAAGTTAATTATACCTACCATACGACCTGGCTATTTTACTCCATGGTATAAAAACGAAAGTGCATGTCCATACAAACACTTGTATACAAATGTTCACAGCAGCTTTATTTGTAATAGCAAAACCAAACCAAACCCCCCAAACTGGAACTAACCCAAGTGACCACCAATAGATGCATGGATAAACAACCTATGGTAATACAATGGACTACTACTCAGCAATTAAAATGAACTATTTATACATACTATGACATAGATGAATTTCAAGGAAATGGAGAGGGACAAAAATCAGATAAAAATTCATACTATAAAACTCCACTTATATAAAATGATAGAAAAAGCAAACTGATTTTCAGTGAGAGAAGTGGCTCTCTGGGGTGTGGGGTCGGTGGGGAGGAAACTACAAAGGGGCTGGAGAAAATGAGGATGGTGCTTATGTTCATTATCTTGATTGTGCTGATGCTTTCAAGTGGCATACATGTCAAAACTTACTAAATTGTGCACTTCAATATGCTCAGTCTGTTCTGCCAGTTATGCCTACGGACAGAGGCTTAAACCTGGAAACCCTCCTTCCATGGATTCCAAGGCACCCTGGTGGCACAGTGGGCGACAGGTCAGCAGTCTGAACCCCCAGCTGCTCTCTGGGAGTTGGCAGTGAGTGTGGCCAGTTTGGTATGTGACCCCTACATTGTTCTCTGGCTTTAGCAATTAGATTACATTGCCAAAGGTACTTCCATATTAACTCTACAATTTATTTTTCACACGAATCTCTTTAGCAAGGTTTTAAAAAGTTTTATTTTATTCCTGAAGCTTTAAAAACCCAGCAGGGAATGGATATTTGCATTATTTAGCAACAGAATCCAAAGCTAACGTGTGGCAAAAATAAGCCTTTCTAAGGCTCTCTCATGATTAAGCAGAGTTGCAAGGTTTTAACTATCAAGACTCTGTATCATTTAAGATGCCTGAAGTCTAAGCCAGTGAAAGGGCAAAAGACTGCAGCATAGTTCCCATGTGGACTCAGGTTTTCTATGGGCCTGGAAAATTCACAGTGGAAATAAGCCAAGAAAAGAAAAGACTTAACCATGACTCTTTTTTAAATCACATACTGTTTTCACTCCTTAAATATAGTTTAACTCGAAGATGTCATGTTGCCAAAATGTAGGAACAAAAGAATTACTTATACCTCGTGCTCGCTTTGGCAGCACATAAGAGTAAAATTGGAACGATTCAGAGAAGATTAGGATGACACGCAAATTTGTGAAGCATTCCATATTTAAAAAAAAAAAATTACTTATACCTCATATGACCTGTTTTAAAATGTCGATGGCTGGCTGTCGCTGAATACTAAGGTGTACTAGCTCCAAATCTTATGCTAACAGTACGCTTTGATTTTTAAATGTACTAGTGGTTATGCTTCAAAATGATCAGTAAATTTCAAGTAAAAAATTAAAAAAATATATCAGATATTAAAGTGTTTATTCAGCATCCTCAAGATGAATAAACTTCCCCTTTTCCGGGAAAGGCCCACCATTGAACCAATTTTAGGAAAAACCAGGCGGATTTTTTATTGGGAAAAAAAAAGCCATTATAACAAGGATACTATACATTAAATTATAATATATATACACATGCCTTTAAACTTCTTTTAAAACCTGGCAAAAATTAAACATCTTTCTCATACCCACATGATTATAAGTGTGTGTTGTGACAACATATAAAGAAAGATGAAACACAAGCTGGCAGGCCTCAAAATCAGAAACTCCAGTGGAGTTCTAAAACCTATGCTATTGGTTTTGTGCCTTTTAGGAAACAATGACCTTTTTTCAAAGTATACAAACTGCTTACACAGAAAATTGTTCCTGAGTGAAACGTCAGCCACGGCTGTGTTTACCTATAACTGGCTGTGGTCTATATAAAGCTCGCGGGAGGCTTGGAACATAAGATGCAAGCTTAAGTGTAACTGTGAACTTCTGAATAGTTTGAACAACCAACTCACTACCAGTTTTACACCTTTAATTGATGACACGGAGGAATATATGTTAGACTTTGCTGTAGAGCTGGTAAGAGAATGCCCAATAGAAACACTGGAAATTTTATGCACAGTATTTAATTCCCTTTGTAGTTAAAAAACAAACATTAAAAATATGTAAACATAGTTTTCGAAAAGCGATGCTAAGCACCTTTACATACGTTCTGACTGAACATGCATTCGGAGGACAAATGAATTTGTAAAAACTCATTTAGAAAATATTTTTAAAGAGCTACTCGTTGAAATACTTACATGGAAATATTGATAGTTCCAGTTTCTACCTAAAAACCAAGAGAGTAAACAATTAGGGATTTAAACCTTCATGTTATTTGTTTTTATCCCCCGTTTGCTTGTGGGAAGAATGAACCATCACTTTCTGTCTTCATGATAAAAAAAAAGTTATCAAAAGAGACATTTACACATGGTGGGAAGTGAGAGAACTATTGTTTTAAACTAGGTTTTATTCTTGATCAAGTATCAAAGCCTGAGTCCTCTGACCCCTCCTATCCTCACAGGTACCCGACTAGGATTTGTACCTTAAGGAGCAACTCAGCAACTCAACATGAAAAAAAGTAAGGAATGTCTCCCAAGAATATGCATATAGTTCAATTGGTAAAATAAATTTAATAGTAAAACATTACTATTACTGAAAAATGAAGATCTATTATTTTAAGTTGTGAAAGGTTTTCATAAAAATTATTAAAAGTGAAATGTATTATTATTCATAATTCATCACTAACCTATAATGTGATTTGGACTTATTTTACACAACAAATCACACGCAAACTATGAGGAATCTGAGTTTGAGGTAAGTCAGATTTGGCAGCCAGCCTTCAAAATGCCTCCAGCAAATAGGTTCAATCCTTAGGAGAAAAAAAACAACTCTTACTAAAAATCATATATTTAACTAAATATTAGTTTATATTAAATAAGGTCTAAGTAATAAACTTTTTACAAAAAGGGTTTAAATCTGATGAGAAATAAGTTTTAGAATTCCACCCACTTCTAATATAACAGTGCTTTACACTTAGTTACACTTCATGTTCCTGAAATAAGTACATTAAAAATGGTAGCCTGGATTTATAAAAAAGTAAAATTTTTACTTTTATAAGTAAAGCATTAAGGTTAAGTTTCCTAGCAAATTGTATATGTTTTTAAAATTAAACATTAATATATAATTTGGAATCC